GAGACCTGAAATTAGAAAGGCTCAATGAGAACAGGCTATCAGGGCTGCCAAGGGAGCAAAAAAGGCTACGTAAGCATCTCAAAAGATAGCAATGGCTGCTACTAAGGCTCCTACAAAGGCAGCACCTAACAAAAGATTGGGAAGCTTTCTGCTCCCCAAGTTGGTGGAAAATGTTAAGTTGGCAGATGAGGCTTTTGAACAAAGATCTGACTATAACTCTAAAAAAATAAAAATGTGTATAGAGAGATTTATTTTATGGAAATGGCTCATGCAATTGTGAAGGTTGGCAAGTCCCAAATCTATGGGTCAGGTGGCAGATTGCAGACTTTTCCTAATCCACATGGTTGCAGGGGCAGACCATCCCATAATCTGCAGATCAAACATCAGACTGACAGCTGTTCATGTCCCAAGAACTGGAAGTCAGACAACATGAGACAGATGCAGAATTGAGAGAGAGCAAGCTTTGCCAGAACATCTGTTCATGTCATGGATGTAAGCTTCACCCCCAAGGAATAGCTTCCAACGGCTGCTCTCAACAACTGATTGGCTGCTCACATCAGATCCCAAAATGAGAGGTGAATACATAGTGTCTGTCTAGCCACTGAGAATCATAGCTTAGCCAACTTGACACATGACTTTAATCATCATACTAGCCTTATCACCATTGAGTTACTGATACAATGGATAGGAAAACAAATTGGAGCTTTTGGTATACAATACAAATGTCCCACACCCTGGGATTCTAAATTTCATTTATCTAACATAAATGAGATTTTCCGTGGTGCTACACTGATTTAAATAAATGGTGGTTGGGGAATATATTTTTTAATGTAAATCTTAGCAACAAGTCTTCTGCATGGGCCAAGCACAGATACCAAGGTCATTTGCTTTCATACAGGTCATTTGCTTTCATACAATGTTGCTCAGTGAATTAGCTGAAAATAGTGAAAAGTGCTGTCTCTGGAGCCTGACATAATGACTGGAGCCCACCATCATGAGTTTCAATTCTTTCTCCAACAACATACTAATCATGCAATCAGGGGCAAACAAACGCAAGGATCAGACCTGTAAATATAAGAATCAGACCTACGTAAGGGGGATGTTGTGAAGATTAACAGAAATCAGTAAAGCACATAGTACAATAAAAACCCAATGCCTCAGGTCAATTCTGACAGACCTGCCCCACTGGGTTTCCAAGGCGGTAAATCTTTATAGAAACAGACTGCCACAACTCTCTCCCACCGAGCAGCTGGTGGGTTTTTCTTCCACAGAGTGGCTGGTGAATTCAAACTGCTGATCTTTTGGTTAGCAGCCAAATGCTTAACTGCTGTGCCACCAGGGCTCCATCACTTAATACAATATGTGACACTTCATAACCACTCAATGAATGTTAGTTGTTACTGTTGTGTTATTCCTTTTTACAATTTTTCAAAAAAAAAAAAAAAAAAAAAAAAAACCAAACCACATTCAATAATAAAAACGCTAAAAGTCCTCTAGGGTGTGAATAGTTAAACAAACTGTCCTTTATCTGTGTTGTTGTTGCTGTTAGGTGCCATCCAGCCTTCTCAGACTCATATCGACCCTATGCACAGCAGAACGAAACACCGACCGGTTCTGCACCAGCATTACGATCTTTGCTATACTTGAGCCCATTGCCACTGCCACTGGGTCAATCCATCTCGTTGAGGGCCTTTCCCTCTTTCATCGACCCTCCACCTTACCAAGCATGACGTCCTTCTCCAGGGAATGGTCACTTCTAATTATACGACCAAAGCAGGTGAGACAAAGTCTGACCATTCTTGCCTCCAAGGAGCATTCTGGCTGTACTTTCTCCAGGACAGATTTGTTAGTTCTTTTAGCAGTCCATGGTACTTTCAGCATTCTTCGCCAACACCACAACTCAAAAGCATCAACCCTTCTTTGGTCTTCCTTATTCATTCTCCAGCTCTCACATACATATGAGGTGACTGAAAATACCATGACTTGTGTCAGGTGCACCTTAGTCCTCAAGGAGACATGTTTACTCTTCAGCACTTGAAAAAGGTCCTTTGCAGCCAATTTTCCCAGTGCTATATGTCATCTCTGGTAGCATAGTGGCTAAGACACTTGCCTGCTAACCAGACGGCTGGCGGTTCAAACCCACCAGCCACTCCTCGG